ATGCTTTCTTAAACACATAAGCTTCCGGCATGGTCGGAAGTATCGGACGGACAACACAAAAATTAAAAGAAAGTGCACGCAAATAAAAACTGAAAAAGAAAAAAACGTTTAATTTTAAAATGAAAAATATTTAAAAGACCCAAAAAACTAAACTGAAATGCATTAAAGCCGCGAAATGGTAGGTTGCACGACTTGTGGAATCAAAATGGTAAACTTGTTAATTGCTTGTCACCAGGGTGACAATCCACTTAAATCAAGCGACCATTCATTTGAACCACTACTAAACTGTCAATGTTTCTATTTACACAAGATTGTAAATGTCTGCTTGTTTATAAACTAATTTTATACATAAATTTTTATTGTGTTTTGAAGTGAATTGTTTTCATTATTTTCTTGTTGTTATTTTTTGTTTTTCTGTCGGCACACAATGGTCGGAGCAGCCATGTTTTACGCGAAAAAGGCATATTTTAAAACTGTGATAAATTAACCAGGATAGAGCTATTCTTATTCAGAAATGTTCAACGAACTCAAAACTGATTAGTATTTTCAATAATATCTGCTGAGTAAGCCGTTAAATCAAATATATAAATAACTAATCATGTTTCTTTTACACCCCCTTTTACGGCTAAACTATACTTCTAAGGTATAAACAATTATATATCATTAGAAAGGTATTTTGATGCTGATGTGTAGGCAATTTTTAAAATTTCAAATTAGCTTAACATAAAGCGAAAAAATCAATTCAAAAGTGACACCAATACCAATGCCATACATGTACATGGTTGGGCTGGAAATGCCTCCTAAATGTATGCTTTAATATTGATACTGAATTACAGAAACATGCTAAGCAGCAGATTAGATTAAGACTCAAACAAGGAGAAGGTAATGTTGAGTATGTAGAAGAAGAAAGAGATAAACGCAGAGATTAATATAAAAATAAAGAAACCTAAACATAGAGACAAATGGGAAGGTAAATTTAAATACTTAATATAATAGCAAAGTTGTGGGTGAATCTATACATAGTATAAAGGAAAGTCGAGATTCTTTGAACGCGGTAATCCCGAAAGCTACTGAACGGATTTTGACGAAATTTTCTCTTATATACTCTGTATCGATAGGAGCGGCATCTTCTTTTACTGAGAATTTTAATAGGGTTGCCACCCTAGGGTTACTATATTCAATAGTAATAAGCGCAGGCATCAGTTTTGTACCGTCACTGTCAAACGAAAAGACTTATCCTCTAGATGTGTAATAATGTATTATTTTTCTGAGTAGAAGAAGCCGGCTAGTATTTAGATAAAGAAAAGAATACAGATAAAGATCTGAATTAAAGTCAAGGAAGAGATAAATGTAAAAATGAAAAGATAAAAAAACGGCAGAAACAAGGATGGAGATAGGGGTAGGGACCAAAAAAGAAAAAGATAAAACTGAAGAATGACATGTTATGTTGTGTTGTGTTGTTTTATTGTTTTGTGTTTTATTGCTTGTGTTATGTTAAGTTATGTTATGTTATGATAAGTTATGTTATGTTGAGTTATGTTATTTTATGTTTTATTAAGTTATGGTATGTTATGTTAAGTTACGTTATGTCATTCTATGTTATGTTATGTTATGTTATATTATGTTATGTTATGTTACATTATGTTATGTTAAATTATGTTATGTTATATTGTTATATTATGTTATATTGTGTTGTGTTAAGTTATGTAATATAATGCTGTATTCTGTTATGTTGTTCAAGATATTTTAGCTCAATTCACTTCAATTAACTCAACTCAACTAGGTTCAGCTCAGCCCACCTCAACTCCCCTTAATTTAAAAGGTTGAATTTCAATCGCAGGGCGAACAATAATCCATTTAATTAAACGAATTCTGTCGTGGCCCGTTCTAACAGTTATCAGTTTATAGTTTTCTTAACAATTTTTATATCGAAACCTTCAATTATAAGTGTAATGCTGGTTTGGTGTTACTTCTTAAACATGCAAAATTATGATTTCACATGAAATATTACATAATAAAACTTGGTTGCTAAATTATCAACACCTTATTAACACGGCTTATTTTTCAAGAAATAGTTCTTCAAAAAGTTATAACTAATGAGTAGGGCCGAGTAGGATCTTCATTCCTTCACCAAAAACTAATGCAAAGGGCCCTTTAAGAATCTACGAGAAGAAAAGCGGCGCATACTCGCGCCAAAAAGTGTGGTGTCCGTCTCTATTTCTCTAGACCCACTTTAGTAGTTGCTTCAAATAACATAAGGTGTATTAAAATATTAAAGATTAATGTAATTTATTCAATATTAACATCATGGGCTATAAGGCTCTGTTGTGCATAGTTGGCAGTGCAAGCACTGCTATACCATTTTTACGTAGAAATCAAAAACCAACAGACTTCTACGTATGTAATGCTGTGGGTTGGGTAACCGCTTACACGCGAAGTTCATTTAACAGATTCCTTATGTGACAACTCTCAAGCAATGCCAAGTATGCATAACGGAGCCTTTACACTTTTATTAAATGCTTGGCCGAGCTTCTCTTCCAATTTATGGTATAAGTCTTGACGTTAAGACACAAATGGAAGGACCTACAATTTTACGCCGCCTCAGAAAGGCAAATGGTTTTCATGAAAAGCTTTTTCAAGAAATACACTCGAAGGTTTTCCATTGCCAGCCAGTGATCGGACTTCGGCAATCCCATCGTGATGTGATAAGCTGGCAGCACTCCGCAAGGTTGCAAAATATGTATGTTCAAAAAATATCTTGATATGGAAGGAACTGCTTTACACTGTCAAGGAAAAAAATTGCCAAAACACAACGCAATTTTTAGCAACTTCAATCTTGCACTTTATTTTACTAAAATTAATTTTCTTTTAGATTCTAATTAAAATGTTTGCAATTTAGGTGAAACCTTGCAGAGTTTTTTAAATTTTTGTACAAAGTTTGATCCAAAACCTGAGATTTACCACATTTTTTTAAATCTACCACATTTGTTTCCAGTTTCTACCACACAAATTTTTCTTTTAAGTCCGATCACTGTTGCCAGACGAGGTGCGACCGCTGTTAGAAAAAACTTTTTTAATTTACATGTTCTGGGACAAGGGATCGAACCCAGGTCCTACGAAGTGGTATAACGCACGTCTAACCCCTCAAATACAGCGACCACCGGTCGCACGTATATCGCCATATTTAAAGAAAAAATAATTAATATCTCAAGCACTGCGTGTTATTTTCCATTTCACCTTTGCCGCCCCTATTTAAAAACCCTATATGTATAATTATAATTCAACATAGCAACATGTTGCTTTCCACATATTCCTTTACCAACATGTTGCTAGTTACATATCTACTTACATGGCAGACAACATCCGGCCGTACCTCTACTATCTACCTTGTTGGGTGCCGACTGTTGCAGTCTCAATTAAAGACTCCAACGCCGCCACACAGCGTGCGCTGATTTCAGTTTACTGCGCATTTCCGGCCCATACAGACCAAATTGAGTTTCGACAGCGGATTGTTTGTACAGCGATTGTTGCATCGGAAATTAATCGTTGGACACATTCAACGAAAACAGCATGAGCGTGTGTAAATTTTTAACCTGGTACAGCAGTATGACAATAACAACAAGAAAAAGTGATAAGAACGCCCACTACAATCGAGACAACGCAAGCGCTGCTGTCGACATTGGCCTCGAATTTCAATTCAATTTATTAAAACACCTGCTGCACTCCGCAGCAATCAGTCGGTGCATAACACAGGACGAAGCTTAACGTCTTTTGAGATTCGTATTAAACTCAAAGCAGAAACAAAACAGTGGCAAATTAGTGTAAAATCAAATAAGGAAACGAACATTTGTTTTCGTTTGTGTTTGCCGCATTTGACTTTGTGGCTTAAAAAATTCTCGAGGTGAAAGCATCAGTGAAATTTTATTTAATTTTTTTTTCACTTCTTTTATTAGACAGATTTATTAGTACAATAAGAGCACAACGGTGATTATGACATGAAAAAACGACCGAGATTTTATTTATAATTACTAGTTACAATGATGTAGAAAATGAAAGTTAAAAACATAAATAAGTACTTAAAAATAAATAAATAAAAATAATTAAGCCAAAAATAATAGCCATCATCGATTCGCCACTTCGCTGACGGCTAATAAATAAATAACAAATCGGTATCTTAAAATTAGGCATAGATTTTCAGTGGCTTATAACTATAATTTTTGAATGTAAAAAATTTATACATATATGTATGTATGTACATACATATGTAATACATTGGGTCGTATTCCTGTTTTCGTACGAATCGAAAATTTTAAATTTTGCTATTACTTTTCTATACAAAAATTTTAAATTTTCGATTCGTACAAAACAAGAATCCGGCCCATTGTGTATGTATATTTATAAATAAATACTTTTAAAACGTTACAAGAAGCAATAAAAGCTGTAAACTAATTTTGCCTTCAAAAAGTGCAATCCTCGCTACAAAACATGTATGTATGTATCAGGGTTGTTGCGAATATTATTCTGAGATAAAAGACCTTTCCGGATAATAAACAAACAAAGAGGACTGAAATAGCTTCTAAGCAGAAATAATATTTATATTTTTTTATAATTTAATACTAAAAAAATTCATATACCGACACAAGGTTTGTTCTATGGTAATTAGTTAACATTTTTTATTGAAATATTTTTCAATATGTGACTTTCCTCGTTTAGACATTTCAGTTTTAAAGTTTTTTAAGTCCTCTTTCATTTGATACCAAACTTGTTTAATTTGGTTGAGCGGAAAGGACTTTTATTTCGGAATAATATTTGCAACAACACTGGTATGTATGTATATAAAAAGTAGTTTCCACGAACGGTGTTGCCGGAAGGTTGTAAATAAAAAAGCAATACATATTAACTTAAAAAAATTTGCCAGAAAAGCTATAGCCTACTAAAAGGAAGTTATAAAAAGGCTAACTTTTTTTTTAATTTTAACTATGTTCTGTTATATTTTACAGAGCTGAGTAGTAATTGCAAAATTATGACAATATTTTTCTAATCTCCATAATCGACTTATAAATTATGCCTTGTTATATACATACTTTATATAGGCTAGGTGTCAAAAATGTGTTTTTGCAAAAATGTACATAAATTTTATTGCGGATTCCGGTAGAATACCCATCCAGTAAAAATGGTTGTTCGGGAAAATTTGTTTGCTTAATGCGACAAACCCTTAGAAATGGGCGTGGCAATTTAAAGACTAAAGTTAACAAAATAAATATTTTATTGTGATGTAATGTGGAACGATTTTCCGTTTCAGGCGTTGTGCCATCTTCAGTGTTCATTCGAGAACGAAAATTGACACTGAAGATGGCACAACGCCGAAACCGGTTTGTCTACAAACCAAATTTGACAAGGGATGACGGAAAATCGTTCCACATTACATCACACTCCTACCCTGTCGGAAACACCAACAACGAAAATGAAAATATTTTATTGTCGATTTCGGCAGAAAGTCCTTTCGCTAAAAACATTTGTTCCGCAACTTTGTTTTTAAATCCAAGAACCCTCTAGCAATGGGCGTGGTAGTTGTAAAACTAAATTGTAACTAAAAAAAAATATTTTTTTGTTTATTTACTTGTTGTTGTGTTGTTTAATACCCGTATTGTAATATTTCATTTATTTTATCAATTTAATCGAATGCAATTTTTCAAACAGGTGGCAACCCTTCTCAAAAATATTTTCGGCAGTAAAAATTCCTAGAATTTTTCGCTTGATCTCATATTGCAATATTTAATTTATCTTATCAATTTAATTGATAAGAAATTTTCAAACAGGTGATAACCTTCCACAAAAATATTGCAGCTGTAAGCCTTCGTAAAACTCTTTCTTTTGACAGCCATATTGCAATATTTACCTTATCGTATAAATTTACCTAAAGTGAATTTTTCCAACAGTTTGCAACTCTCTAATTTTTTTCATCTATATTTTAAGTTAGACCTCTAGTAATACACCGTTGAAAACTGCATTCGATGCCATGCATTAGTTTTCGAGTGATGCGCGTACAAACTTACAGACAGAAAAAAAAAATTTTTTAAATTGTTGATTTGGCTTCTGTTGCTCTTAATGAAGACATCGGACTGTTAAAATTTTATTATATGTATAGATGAAAGTGTCATTCAAAAATGTAAAAAGCGACTCCTAGGTTCGACAGAAAAAACTTTTTTTCGAAATTGCCTTGCAAAAATACTTTAGACTCAGGGGTGTACGCGAACTTATTTTGCTTGCTCATAAGACAATACGGTCTAATGTACATATGTAAGTCTATATATGTATGAAGTCAGTAGCTTCTCATAATCCTAAAACTTTCTAAAGTTGGTTGTAAGTGAAACCAAATCAAAGTTAAATTATTTAGATAAAACTGGGTAATGTAATAAAATCGGCGAAACTTATAGTCACAGTAAATTTAATATGAATTTAGATAAGGTAACTTATTTATAATTTTTTTAACTCAGACGCTTTTTAAGTCAATTGAACTCAAATTTTATTTACTTTTTTTTACTCATATCGTAACTTGTAAACTATAAATAGATCGACAATTAATACATGCTTCATTTCACCCAAGTACATGAATTATCTACGGGTGCGTATTTTCAAAGGCTAATGGAATGATGTCGCAAAATCGATAATGTAAATACATATGTATGTATGTTCATATGTGCGTTGTTTATAAATCTGAACTCCGCACAATACGGAAGCAAAAAGAAACATTGAAAAATGCGGTGTGGTCGAATAAAGCAGATTATTAATTAATGGTGGGCACGTGCTATTTGAGCGCAATGAAAACAAAGACTGAATAAGTGTCTAGTATTATTTTTGTACTGAAGAGGGGTGAAAAAATCGTGTCACCTTCCCTTAACTGGATGTTGATGCGTAACTCAATGACTTTAAGATAGTAAGCCGTGTCGATAGCATATCCATCGATCCATCTACATAGCTACCGGAAAAAGAACAAATTTTATTTTTGCTTTCCTTTTTCATCTATCCATATTTAGAATTGTACAAAACGTTCCCGAAAGTTACGTATACGTACGTACAATGTGTATTACATATTTATTATAATATATGTACATTCAGGACCGTAGCCAGGAATTTTTTTGGGGGGTTCTGACAAAATATTTTTTTTATTTTCATTTTTATTTCAACATAGTTTGATACTGATAAATATAAAACATTTCACACAACAGGGTTGAAATTTTGAAAATCGTCCCCGTATTTTGTTTATAAGTCAAATATTAGTGGCATTGTGCTACTATGATAGCACGGCCGACTAATCATAGTCAACTTATATACAGTAGTCGAAAAAATTATAGTCGCACCAAATTTTGACAAGTTTTAAAATATTATTTTTGTTGTTATTTAATTTTAGTTGGATTTTTATAGTTCATTCTTTAACAACATCCGTATAAATACAAGTTCAAAGGCAGTGTCACACGATTGGGTATTTGCCGAAATTTAGCATCCCAATTGTGTGAATACCCAAATATTTTTATTTATCCCAATAACGAAAAATAATTTGTTGAACATTTTTAATGGAAGCTCGCTATATTGTACCAATCTTTTGACTACCAATAGCCCAATATCAAATTGTACAAATCTGTACAAATGTACCAATCGAGCGATACTGCTTTAAGAATTTATGCAGGTAAAAAAAAACATATCAACAAATTTTTGTAAAAATTTCGGGTTTTTTATTAGATTCTGAGTAGGCATGCAATTTTGTAGCCCATTGAATTCTAGTAGAATAAAGTACAAGTTTCAAATGGCTAAAAACTGTGGTTAATTTTTTATAATTTTTAAAAAAGCATGAAATTGTACGAAAGTTTGTTGAATTTTTTTTTTAATATTGCACAAAGTTGGAAACTTGGATTTACACAGGTTTTTTTAAAGAATGAACTATATTTTTATAAAAGATAACCAAAATTAAATATCAACAAAAATAATACGTTAAAACTTGGCAAAAAGTGGTTCGGCTATAATTTTTTGACCATATATTTAATTGGGCATGCACATTTCACATAAAGGATGTACATAACAAATATAAAAAATAATGTTGTCTTTTTTTGCCTTTTTTCAAGTTTTTAGTACGTTAAAATGCTAACCCTGGTTATTAACATCTTATTATCGGAGACGCTACATTTCAGGGGGGTCAGAAGACCTCCACTTTTAAAAAACAAAAATATAAATTTGCACCAGCTGCGACTTGAACCGGGGTTCTCATATTTGTTAAGCGAATACTCTGACTAAGTGCATACATATCATTAAATCGTTAATAGTACCCGTTAGAGATGAGTCGGAGACTAATTGATCTCTGATTTACGTTAAAACTGGCAGAAAATTGGTAAAAAGGGGATATTTGGAGAGTTTCTTCCGCAACTTTTTTAATCAAAGAATCTGCTAGAAACGAGCGGGCAATTTTAGAACCAAAGCTAAAAAAATTTACATTTCATTGTGGATTTCGGCATGCACAGAAAAGTCTGCGTTTTGTTGACCTTTGTCCTAAAATTGTCAAGCCTATTTTTGAGGGTTTGTCGCCTTAAAGAAAAATCTTGCCATATAATTATTATTTCTGGATAGGTATTCTATCTAGCTAAATATATCCCATCGTTTTCGTAAACAAATTTAAGAAAAATGTTTGACTCTTACAAAATAAAACATCTCGTTATAAAAAAGAAGTAAGCGCGCCTGGGCCACACTGGAGAAGTGAAACTTACGTTACGTTTGTCTTTTTTATCTAGATCCACCCTTTTCGTTGTAACTACATTTATGTTATTCTGTTTTCCTTTATCTTCATTTGTATCTTTATACTCTATCAATAACAAAATCGATAGTAACATCCATCAAAACATCGACAACAAAACTGATAAAAAAATTCGATAACAAAATTTACGACAAATTCGTTAAAAATTTCGATAGCAAAATCGATAAAAATATCGATAACAAAATCGATAAATAATCGATAGCAAAATATATAACCAAAATCGATTAGAAAATCGATAAAATATTGATAAAAATATCTATAAAAATCGATAAAAAAGTATCGATAACAACATCGATAACAAACCCAAAAACAATATCGATAACAAAATCGATAGAATAATCGATAACAAAATCGACAAATAATCGATAAATAATCGATAACAAAATCGATAAAAATGTCGATAACAAAATCGATAACAATATCGATAACAAAATCGATAACAATATCGATAACAAAAATCGATTAGAAAATCGTTAAATTATCGATAACAATATCGATAACAAAACCGATAAAAATATCGATTATTATATCGATAAGTCCCGAGAATCCCGAAAGTCTCTAAAATCCCAAAATAGTACCCAGATTAAGTTTCTGTGTCCATCGGCGTAGCCAGAATGAAATTTAGGGGGGGGGGGCCCCGACCTAATAAGCCTGCCATTTAAGGGAACTATTTATATAATATAAAAAAAAAAAAAAAAAAAAAAAAAGGGGGGGGGGGGGGGGGGCGGGGGTCGGGGGTTGTAGGGTCGAGCACTTCCCCAGCCTACCTGGCTACGCCCATGTCTGTGTCTCTATCTATGTACATCCTTTTCCCTATAATTACCTGTATTTTAATCTTTCTTCCTCTATCTTCATCTCTACTTTTATCGGTATCCTCATCCTCACCTTTTTTTATATTTATCTTTGTTTTTACTTTTATGTTTATAATTTTCTTCATCTACATACATATTCCCCTTCACCTTTGCCCTTATATAAGTTAAGTGTTTAAATTTACCTTAGTCTTCATTTTTGCCTTTATCTATACGCATCTTTTTTTTTTTTGGTTTATTTTTTCCTTTGCCTTATCCGTTTCCTTATCTATGTATGTACGTACTCACCTTTACTTTCATTCTTGTATTGGTCTTTTTCTATGTGTTATTCTTTAACCTTTTATTAGCAAGTTTTTGTTAAATTAATAACACACATTCAACAAGCAGTTGTTTC